TTCTGTTGCTTCTCTGGCTAATGTTTTCATTGTGGCATTTGCTGCCTCAAATCTTCGAGCAATTAACAAGGCATCATCTAAACTGTTTGGTGGCTCTTGTAACAACTTGTTTTGGGTGGCCTTATCTCTCAACCCCAAAATAAATTGATCAACCAACCTGCTAGAATATTCGTCACCATGGAAACCACATCTAGCTCCAGCTTCTCGCAAAGAAACAGCATACGAATCAACAGACTCACCAGGCTCCTGTTCTCTACGATGAAAATTGTAACGTTTCTCTGTAGCAGTCTGATTCCTTTCAAATAACGACTTCAACTTTCCAATCCAATCTTTGTACGCGTTTTCCCCTTCGCCAAACTCAACCGGTTCTGCCAAACGAAAACGCATCTTCGCTCAAATTAAACAACAGCGCAAATCGTCGCTTTTTAACATCTTCAAGTTCCACTGCTTCGAAGTACAAATTACATTTCTTGATGAACAAATCAAAGTCTTCGCCAATTTTAAACTTGTCGGGCCTTCGCTAATTTTAAACTTGAGGGCTACAACTTATTCGTCTCAACATTCGGTGCTTCTGCTTGCTCAGGCTCGACCGCCATGTTTGCACGATACAAAACACACTCGAAAAACAAGTCAAAATGTCACATCATTTCCACAAGTTTGGTCTCGGTGGGACCTCCAAAATTGTCACGAAGCACTACTGGACTAAGATAATACCAAAACTCTTTAATTACAATACTCAACAACGATTAATCTCCACGAAATACATCTCACAATTTCACCTTAACTCTACAATATCTCACTCCCATGCGGTTCTCTCTCCTCAAAAACACATGCACTAAAAGGCGCTAAAACACATACACTAAAAGGCGCTTCTCTACACCGCCTAACCAGGAGCGGTTGCGAAAATGTAGGCCATCTGGCAGGAATCAAACTGACATTGAGGCCCTTATTTATTATATGGAGGCGAGTTATCCGGCTAAAGCGAGTTGAAAAGCGCATAAGATCAAAGAGGGTGGGAAGGTTATGGATCACGTTTCACAACGAAAAAAAAGCCGTTTCACGATTCACGTGTCTTAAAAAAGCAATTTCACGGAAAACTGGATTCTAATAAAATAATATAATAATAATAGGTTTATTAAGAGTATGTTTAATGCTTGGTACAGTATCTACGCTTTAAGTTCTCTCATTTCTCTTCTCATTTCTTTAAAAACTACATCATAACTTACAAGTTTGAGTGACGAGCATGTACGACGACCTCCAAAAGGCCTCCGAAGTTTTTACTCTTGTGCAATCGAGTGAGATCATATAAATTGATTATCGCGTATCATGTTTATTATGACTATTATAAAATAGAACGCCGGAATAAACAAAGCAAAATCACAGTTCCACTTCACGAAACAGACATCCTTAATTCTCATTTCACGGAGCATTTTTATCGACAATCACGCCTCACGGCTGTAGAACAAATCACATTTCACGACACTAAAATCAAGCATTTCACATGAACAAATATTGACCATTCACGGCTCACGAAAATACCCTTTCCCACCCTCGTCAAAGGCGAGATCAAAGGCTTAGGGCCCTTAGGCTCATTAGTCTTTCATGGACTCTTCATTATATGCAGTTTTCAACTCGCCTAGCCCATAGATATCTTCTATACACTAGATAGCGTATCTCTTTTAGTAAAATTGAAGCCAAGAATATTCCAGCGGTTACCCCCATTTGAATAGATGGCGGCCATGTTGAAGTTTTCCACTCGCTAATAAACGCTTAAAAAACAACAATAACTTTCATCATTTGAATATAGTTTGAAAATGGATTTGGAATAGGTTTAACTTAATGTTTAAGTTCCCTGTTTAAGAAATAGAAAACATACGAGTCTTCTCATTTCATGGGAATATCCTGAGTCTGCAATCACGGCTTCAATTTTTGAATTGCAGAATAATTAGATGCACTATCTAGTATATATAAGATATCTATGGCCTAGCCGGGCAACTCGCCCCCATATAATCAGCCCCTTATACATTATTATATACCCCCCCCCCCCCCCCCAATGTGAACAACGCGCGCAAGCGCACTTCATAGCACTCATGCAGAACCAACAAATTGATGAAGAAGCCACGCTTTTCAACTCTCCTTGCGCAAACACCATAATGGGCACTATTTTACTCAGGATGTGTGCGCAAACATTTCATCCTAACACAGGTAATGCCTTGTCAATACAAGCCAAGTACATATTGACCCAAGGCAGCTTCTGTACACATCCAACGCTGAAGTCATGTTATACTCTAAGACAGCGCCATTAAAGCCAGCTTGTTTTAAGGAAATACGCTTGACGTGGGTGACAAAAGCGCGTGAAAGAGTGCAAACACTTTGTTTGTTCTTCATCGAGTAATATTTTAAAAGAGGTCGCACTCGAACACATGCATATCACGCGTGCTTAGGGCAGGTGCATATAAGCGAAGGGGCGGAAAAAATCAGGGGGATGGACAAAAATGTGCCTGACATTGATGGGAATTGCCCGACATTATCATGGGTTTATTGATAGATGAATAGAACGTGAATACAACAGAAGGAGCACACACATCTGTCATACAGACGCACGGAAATTAAGTCAATCTTAAAACAATGAATAAAAAATAAAGTTAATAATATTATTATAGTATAATATAACATAAAAATATTTACGCAGAGTATTTTTGGGATTTCATTCTTTAGATACATCGAAAACTCCTCACTAGATAGTCTATACTGCATACAATTTGAATTTAATGAAACAAATTTCAATCTGTCGTTTGATTTCTCTTACTAAACATCTAAACATTAATATCATGACAAAGTATATTATACCGAGGCGAACAGGCGTAGCAAATTGCGTCCCAACTACACACATAAAAATGCCAACAAGCCGTCAACAAGTTGTGTTCCAACAAGCCGTCAACAAGTTGTGTTCGCACTATGGAACAAGCTGTTAACAACTTGTGACAACTTTGTTGGTATTATCAGACTTAAGCTTGTTGCGAGGTTGTTCCGACAGGTCCGATACAGTCATGATACAACAATATTGTTACAACCTTGTGTCGTCAACCTTGTAACATTATTGTTATATCATGACTGTATCAGACTTGTTAGAACAACCTTGTAACAAGTCTGATAATGCCATCAAGCTTGTTGCAAGTTGTTAACAGCTTGTTCCAAACTTGTTACAACAACTGGGAACAAGCAGTGCGAAGACAACTTGTTGACGGCTTGTGAACAGATTTGTAACAACTTGTTTGCAGACCTGTAACAACTTGTGTGTTTTTACGTTCACAAGCTTTCGACAAATTGTTACAATTGGAACAAGCTGTTAACAATTTGTAATAAGCTTGATGGCATTATCAGACTTGTTACAAGGTTGTTCTAACAAGCCTGATACAGTCATGATATAACAAGAATGTTACAAGGTCGACGACACAAGGTTGTAACAATATTGTTATATCATGACTGTATCGGACTTGTTGGAGCAACCTTGAAACAAGTCTGATAATATCAACACGCTTGTTTCAAGTTATTAACAGCTTGTTCCAAACTTGTTGACAACTTCGCACAAGCAGTGCGAACACAACTTGTTGACGGCTAGTTGGCAGACTTCCTACAAGTTAGATGTTAGATTCTTACCTGTGTACACACGTAAAACACAGCCTTGCTACAAGCTTGTTGAAACGGACTTGTCACAACTTGGTGACCACACCAACTTAATTGTCAACATGCAAGTGTGACTTGTCTTGTTGTCGACAAGCTTGTTACAAGTTGTTCCAACAAGTATGATTTGTCTTGTTGTCAATAAGCTTGTTACAAGTTGTTCCAACAAGTATGATTTGTCTTGTTGTCAATAAGCTTGTTACAAGTTGTTCCAACAAGTATGATTTGTCTTGTTGTCAATAAGCTTGTTACAAGTTGTTCCAACAAGTGTGATTTGTCTTGTTGTCAATAAGCTTGTTACAAATTGTTCCAACAAGTGTGATTTGTCTTGTTGTCAACAAGCTTGTTACAGGTTGTTCCAAGAAGTGAGATTTATGTTGTTGTCAACAAGCTTGTTACAAGTTGTTCCAACAAGTGTGATTTATGTTGTTGTCAACAAGCTTGTTACAATTTGTTCCAACAAGTGTGATTTGTCTTGTTGTCGACAAGCTTGTTACAAGTAGTTTCAACAAGTGTGATTTGTCTTGTTGTCAACAAGCTTGTTACAAGTAGTTTCAACAAGTGTGATTTGTCTTGTTGTCAACAAGCTTGTTACAAGTTGTTCCAACAAGCGTGATTTATCTTGTTGTCAACAAGCTTGTTACAAGTTGTTCCAACAAGTGTGATTTGTCTTGTTGTCAACAAGCTTGTTACAAGTTGTTCCAACAAGCGTGATTTATCTTGTTGTCAACAAGCTTGTTACAAGTTGTTCCAACAAGTGTGATTTGTCTTGTTGTCGACAAGCTTGTTACAAATTGTTCCAACAAGTATGATTTGTCTTGTTGTCGACAAGCTTGTTACAAGTTGTTCCAACAAGTGTGATTTGTCTTGTTGTCAACAAGCTTGTTACAAGTTGTTCCAAGAAGTGTGATTTGTCTTGTTGTCAACAAGCTTGTTACAAGTTGTTCCAACAAGTGTGATTTGTCTTGTTGTCGACAAGCTTGTTACAAGTTGTTCCAACAAGTGTGATTTGTCTTGTTGTCGACAAGCTTGTTACAAGTTGTTCCAACAAGTGTGATTTGTCTTGTTGTCGACAAGCTTGTTACAAGTTGTTCCAACAACTTGCTACAGGTCTGCAAGACAACAAGTTTTGACAAACTTGATGCCAACAAAATTTTGTTGGCATCTCACTCGAATGAAACACAACACCCTTCAAATATCGATGCCAACAAGTTTGTTACAACTTGATAAAATAGCAAGCTTGTTAGGCCTACAACTTGACAACAAGCTTGCTACAAGCTTGTTTCGTCAACAAGGGTCTAAATCACGACTTTACTACAGAAATGGGGGCCCAAATTATTTCACTCGTGCGATAGCGAGGTCAACCTTGGGTCAACATATCTTTCATTAAAAATACTTAATTAAGATGCACAGGCATTGATTAAATCATATACATCATTAATGAAAGTGAGCATTAAAAAGACATTATTTTGTCATCAGTGAAATCAACTTCCCGTTTGCATTTTGCATTAAGTCCACATTTGCAAACTTAAAGTAACTAAATGGTTTATGTTTGTTGTACCTCCTCGAAATAATATTCAACAATGGAAAAATCGTCCAACTTGTATGACAAGTATTCGACGCATTTTAAAAACAATTCAAAGTATTCAGCTGAAGTGAAACTCAATATTTTTGATGAATTTACTTCATGTGAGATTTTGTTTGTGGTTTTAGTAAAGATCCCAACAGCAAGCCAGCAAAACACGCGCAGAGGTATAAATAAGGGGGGTCATTATGGCAAATGCTCCACCTGATAGCCTCGTCTCTCCCCGTGAGCTCTATACACACGGGAGGGAGGGGGGGGGAGAATGTTTGTCCACATTACATCACATCTTTCCAGCATTTTCGACTATTATCTTACATATTTCTTGCTTTTCAATTTATTTCCCCAAATCTTTTCGCTCAACTTACGTTTAAAATTTGCCCAGCTTCAATTTTTCTGGGGGAGGGGGCAGCTGGCCCGCCCCTACCCCCTGTCTCGTACTCTTAGTCTGGAGTAAAAACTACAGTCAATCGGTCATTCTATGAATTAGGTCGTGAACAGTTTTGATACCACATTCCCCAGCTATAGTATTATTCCTTAAATCGAAGTCTAAACACGAAATTTTTGCATACTCCTTGTAGACCGCGCAGACAAAAACAATAGAAAGGGACTGGTACTGACATCAATTTCTGCCATTTTTGCAAATTCTATCAACCTCGTACCCAGGGCTTCTGCGCTGCAGAAGCCCT